ACCCCTAATTTGCATTTAGGTTATTCACTTTTATTGATTCACAACACCCCTCCCCCTTGGGTTCCGTTTGAGGGGAGCTGTGATAAAATCCTCAAGATAGGCAGGCCGTTTGGTCTGCCTGGAAGATTTCCGAGGCTCCACCGGGTTTTGTCCAACGTCCGGTTCCGGTGGAGCGTTTGGATGACCATTGTTAAGTTCTATTTCGCTGCACGGCGATTCCGTGCTGCATTCACTGTGGATGTCTCTGCTGCTGCATGTTTCTTCGGGGTTTTGCAGTTCGTTTTCCCCTGTATTAAAGTTCCCTGGCGACATCAACTCCCTCCCCGCTTCACGTTCTGGTGCTTCGCTGGGCTGTAGGGCTCCCGTTGACCCGCTATTAGTTGTATCAAAGTCAATTCCCTCGATACTCCCTCCCCCTTGAGCTTTTGAACCGGGGAAGTCATGGCCGCTGGGTGATAATCTCGATCGGAGTTGGTCTATGTGGCGTTTCCACACTCTCCCATCGTCTGTTAGCAGGCGGTAAGATCTAGGCCCGGTGAGGTGGGTAACGGTTGCGGGTATCCATAACGGGTCGCCGGAAAAGTTTTTGGCAAAGATTAAATCGCCTACCTGAAATTCCCGGCATTTGCTGCTGGAGCCGACAGGTTTTTCTGGTGCGAAAGTGGGGTGGAGCCGGTCAAGGTGCGATCGTATTTTCCGCCCCATAAGAAGTTCAGCGGGTGTTTTGTTGGTTACGCTGTGGGGCGTGATGTGCTGCAATAAGAGGATTCAATTGATTTTCTCGTCGATGTTGCCAAATTCCATTTTATGCAGGGTCTTTTTCACAAATTGTACCATGCGTTCTGCACGTCCATTCGCCGCAGGGTGCGCGGGCGAGGTCAGCGCATGGCGGATGCCCCGATCAGCCAGATATTGTTCAAAAGGCAATGCCATGAACTGCGGGCCGTTGTCCGAGACCAACACGTCCGGAAATCCGTGCGTGGCAAATAGTCTGTTTAATTTATTAATAACTGAGTCGGTTGTAGTTGTGTGCATTTGATGAATTTCGAGCCAGTTGGAATAGGCGTCGACAGTAATCAGGAAAGTGTGACCTTTGGTAGGCCCCGCAAAGTCAATATGAATACGGGACCACGGTCCCC